ATAAAGAGCTAAATGGCCAATAGCGAGGCAGGAGAAAGGATAGGCAGGGCTGGCAGAGAGAAAGAACAAATAGGAGAAATCTGGGAGGAAAAAAAAAGAGCAAGAGAACAAGGAAAGGAAGACATCAGGGGCCAGCCACCCAGCTACACAGCCAGCCACGAGCTAAGTGAAAGTAAGATTTCCAGAAGTAATAGAAAGGTAAAAGCCCAGAGGCAAATGGTAGACAGGATAATTTAAAGTTAGGAAAAGTTGAGTAGCAATAAGCCAAGCTAAGGCCGAGCATTTATAATTAAGAATAAGCCTGTGTGTGTGATTTATTTGGGAGCTGGTGGCAGGCCCTGCACAAGAGCAAAACCCAACAGCAACATCTGTTAAAATATGTTAGAAATTGGATGAAGATTTCATAGATGCAGCATAGGGACTGGTAGGTGTTCTTTCTACACTTGAAGAAGTGTGTACTCTGTCGGGTGGGATTCTGCTCATGTATAATTTTGATTAAGTATAATTGGTTCAGTTCTTCATATCCTTCTTTCTTTCTCATGCATCCTGCCTCTTGTCTTCTTTCTTGGCCTACAAAACTACAAATTTTTACCCATTAACTCACCACCTGTAACCACACTGATCTACTCTCTGTTTCCATGCATTTGAAATATACATATATTTTAGATGCCACATAAAATGAGATCATATAGTCATATAATAGTTTTCATTCTGTTTCTGGTTTATTTCATTGGCTAAATGTTCTCAAAGGTTCATTTGTGTGATAAATGATGTTATATAATTTCCACAGTGAAACCCATTATTTTGTACAATTAACATATGCTAGGATCATTTTTTTAAAGACATAAAGTTAGGAGTGGGTAGGGAAATGGGAGATAGATCTGGGAGAAGTTAAGCAAAGGTGAATATGCAAATACATTATGTCAAATTCTCAAATAACTAATATACACTTTTAAATGTCAAAAAAATTAATAAGGAACCCGATTATAAAAATCTCATTTTTCAAGGTTGATTAGTGTCTTGCAGTTTCTTTGTTCATCTACCTATTGACAGAGATGTCAGTTGTTTCCATAGCTATTATGAAGAATGCAAGTACTTTTGCAGAAGGATAGTCTAATTACTTTCGGTGTTTTCAAGTAATGCACTATTATATAGGGCTTTGTATCCCTGCTAGTCTCACTTTTGTCATACTTTGGTTTCAGTTGTATCATAAACTAACTGTATAATGTTTAAAGAACGTAGCCTGTGAGAGCAAGTGTATTCTATATCTGCTCATTTTTGTCATGTCTAGTTCATTTCACGCCTAGTATAGCCTCAAATTTGCATCTGGTGTTTTTCTTTAGACTAAAGACCCTCCTCCAGCATTTCTTGTGGAGCAGTTTTCTGACAAATTCTCTGAGCTTCTGTTTGTTGGAATTCTGAATTTCTTAGAAAAACATCTGATCAAATTGCAAATTTTAGACAATGCCATAGATGCTTCCAGATTTATTTTTAGTTAACGTTTGAGTTAGCATGCAAGATGTTGAGTTTTGACATGGCATCTTCATATAAGGATTCAGGTTTTTTGGAAAGCATTTCCTTCCTCACTTTCCTCACCCCTCTCTTCTTCTAATTCTCCTTCAGGTAAAATGCTTACTTTATAAAGTATAAGTTGACTGTACAATCATTAGTATTTGGATGCGAATTTTGTTAACCCTTTCCAGATCATGTCACTTTGCTGCCTGACTCCTCCTCCCATTGTACTAGGGTCAAGGAATACCAGCTTATGTCAGTATTGATGGAATCAACCTGCTTAAATTCTCCAATTTCAGGAACTGTGGTGATCTGATATGGTGGTCTCTGTTATTTCATTTCACTTTAGCCCTTTTTACAGAGGCAAAATTCAGGCTTAACAAGGCACTCTGTAAAACTAATAGACACTTTTAACTCTTTGGAACATTATATATATATATATATATATATATATATATATATATATATATATATATATATATATACTAAATATATATATATTGACTAAATATAATATATATATATATATATATATATATATATATATATATATATATATATATATATAGTGACTAAAAGTTTAATTTTTGACCATGAGCAGTTAAGGTCACAAAGAAGAGAAAGTGGTTTTTATTTTCAAGTTAAATAGCATTCATTTGTCTATATTATACTTCAAGATTGAGTTAAAAACCTTTACCAGAGTATGTGCTTTCTAGTGTTGCATCATCATCCTTAGGTACCACTTTCCAACACCAGTCTCCACTCCTCTCATTCAGTCTTCAAGTCCTGCTTAGTTTACCTCCAGAGTGCATCCCACATTCTCACCTTCAGTGCTCCCAAATTATGTTTATCTCTTATTGGACTTACAGAATCATCTCTCCACTTAACTCTCCTCTCATCTCCTAAAGGTCTATTCTCCATGTAGCAGATGGAAGCATCCTTTTATGAGTCCATTCAGTTCCTGTCAGTTCTTGCTGAAAACAGTCTAGTTGTTTTAGTTCAGTGTAGACTAGCACCCAGTCTTCCCTATGGGTTACTATGCCTACCACGGTCTGGTCCTACCTCTAAGTGCCCTTCTATTTCATTCTTATTTAACTCCCAATAACACTATCCTCTTTGCCTTTCCATAAACATAAGCTACATTTCTGTCATTTTTATTGTTCTTTTGCCTGGACCTTTCATCTAGATATTCTTAAAGTTGTCATCCTTATTCACCCTGTGTTCAAAATCATACTACAAAGTACTGCCAAAGTGGCGGGTCTCTCCTTGCTCCCATCGTCACTCTGTCTTCACAGGTGATACATGGATACATGGATGCATGAAGACTGCTCTGGAGACTAAGTAAAGATTTCCAGCAGGAGTTCCTATCTGTTGATGGTGGCAGTACAGGCACCCATTCTTCACAGTATATTTTATGTCTCTTAGGTAACGGTTTACAATCTAATCTGTGTTATCCATTACATTATTAACAGAGTTACTGGAAGACTCATATTTTGTAACTTCCTTATAGTGAATTGTATACTTGCATTATGGAGTATATTATTTATGATTTCATTCTGTTGCTATCCTGATTTTACCTCTTTTGTTTTAGATTTAATTTGTATTCTGGTATAATTTAATGCATTCCTTCCTTTATTAAATTCTTTTTGGAATAATTTACAATATAAATAAATAAACCAAAAAGGTAACAATATTATTAACAGAAGTTTCACTACCAAAACAATAAGTTCTATCTGTAGATAAATCTACATTTAATAGTTTTATAGAAGAAAATTTGGCTTGTCAGGGCAGTGAACATCTGTGACATGGTTGTTAAGCAAGTCTTTTCTGGAATTTTCATTCTTCATTCACTACGTGTAGCATCCTTTTTGGTTCCAGGTATATACTTCAGGAATAAATGCAGCTCCCCACCCACCTACTTAATTTGTGCAGTGTTGGAGACATTGGAATCTTGCCTGATAAATTTGAATTTGAGACTCAACTAGTCTTTTAGATGCACAGTGAACTCCATAACTCTAATAAACACATCCTTCCTGTATCTGAGGAAAAGGCAGTCTGTAGTGCAAGAGGATTAAACTGGCTCATAGAAATAGATGAGACTTAAAGAGAACAATGACCTAGTTCTAATTATGTCTTTGTCTATCTTTGCATAATTCTTCTTTGTAGTCACTGAGATACTTCTATGCTATTTTAGTAAATTCTTCTTTTTTCTAAGTCAGTTCAAATTCGTATTGGTCACATTAACTAGAAAGGTCCTAACTAGGCTACAAATTTATAAGCAAAGTGGATAGTTGGAAAATCACGTGGATGTAGAACTATACCCTCACTCTAAACTTGGCGAGCCTGAGAGTCCACACAAATGTATAATAGAACATTTTTTGTTTTTAGCTTTTAAATTTATTTCTCTTACCAATTGTTGTTCAGAAAGGTAAAGTTATGATGAATTCAGTTCTGTAAACACCCAGATCCAGTTACAATTCTGCCTTTATTCTTTTCTTTTTGGCTGTGTGCACTCTTTTTTTTTTAATATCTCTTTCATACAATCATACAGATATATCTGGACCGAAGCCTCCCCTCTCTCCTCTCCTCCCAGTCTCCCTTCACCTCCAGATCTACTGCTCCTCCATTCCCCTTCAGAAAAGAACAGGGCACCCAGTGATACCAACTGAATATAACAAGATGCAATAAGGCTAGGCACAAACCTTCATATCAAGGCTGGATGAGGCAACCCACTAGGAGGAAAAGGACCCACAAACAGACAAAAGAGTCAGAGATACCCCCACTCCCACTGTTAGGAGTCCCACAAAAACTCCAAGTTAAACAACCATAGCATATATGCAAAGGACCTAATGCAGACCCATGGTTGCTGCTTCAGTCCCTGTGAGCTCCTATGAGCCCTGCTTAGTTGATTCTGTGGGCTGTGCTCTCCATCCAAATAGTAAAGATACAGTCAAGTTCTGAAGAGGCAGAAAAGATTGAATGTGAGCACCAACTGCATAATTTAGACACATTCTTTTGCTTTCAGTATCATTCCTAATAAACAACAAACTAACAAACTTCTGACTATTGGTGAATTGAATCCATTGATATTGAGAGATATTAATGACCAGTGGTTGTTCATTCCTGTTATTTTGTTGTTGTTGTTAGTGGTGGTAGTAGAGTGTGTGTGCGTGCGTGCACTTCCCTTTAGGTTTTGCTGGTGTGAGACTATCTATAGCCTGTGTTTTTGTGGGCATAGCTAACTTCCTTTGGTTGGAGTTTTCCTTCTAGTACCTTCTGTAGGGCTGGATTTGTTGATAGATACTCTTTATTGACTTTGTCATGAAAATATTTTTTTCTCCATCTATGGTAATTGAAAGTTTTGCTGGATATATTAGTGTGGGCTGGCATTCATGGTCTCTTTAAGAGTCTGCAAGATGGCTGTCCAGGCTGCTCTGGCTTTGAGAGTCTCCGTTGAGAAGTTGGGTATAATTCTGATAGATCTGTCTTTATATGTCTAAAACTATGAATTTATGTGTCATCCTTGTACAGGAGCCATGCTAATCTTCTCTGTGTCCTTCAAAGTTTAGTATATGTGCTGCCAAAGTCAGCACTGTGTGCACTGTTCTTACCCTCCCAGAACTTTTTTTTATCTCTCAAATGAAGAGAGGACCTGCTTCCTATTGCACCAATACCCATGCAGTATATTTGGTGGCATTCATAGGTTCTAACAAACTTGCTCACTCAGCACTGTTGTTGTCTCTTTGTGCCAGGGAGTGCTCTAAATGTTTGAAATATTCAAGAGAAGACACAAATGTACCTGCTTTCAAGGCAAGTCCATTTCCCAGGAAGCTGCTTGTGGTTTGGGCTGAAGTGAGAAGACTGTCGCATGCCATGGCACATTTCTCAGAGAGCTCTCCCGTAATCCAGCTCCTTCCCTTTCCCCATTTATTAAAAATAGATTTTTTTTCTCACATAATATATACTGGTTACAGTTTCCCCTCCCTCTACTTCTCTCAGTTCCTCTCCCCCCCCAATCCCAATCCACTCCCTTTCTGTCACTCATTAGAATACAACAGACTTCTAAGGGATACTGATAAAATATATAAGATAAAACAAAAAGTAACACATTGGAATTGGGTAAAACAAACAAATAGAAGGAAAAGAGCCCAGAAGAAGGCACAAAAACCAGAGATCCACTCATTTGCACACTCATGGAATCCCATGAAAACACTAAACTGGAAGCCATACTATATACTCAAAGGACCTGGTACAGACCTGTGTAGGCCCTGTGAATGCTGCCCCCAGCATATGAGCTTTGTTCATGTTGATTTAGAGGACCTATTTTCATGATGTCTTTCCTCCCCTCTGACTCTTAGGCTCTTTCTGTCTTCTCTTCTGCAGGGTTCCCTGAGCCCTAGAGGAAGGGTTTGATGGAGACATCCTATTTAGGGCTGAATGTTTCAAGGTCTTTTACTTTCTGCATAGTGTCTGGCGCTGGGTCTCTCTATTTGTTCCCATTGCTGCAGGAGAAAGTTTCTCTGATGATGGCTGAGCGAGACATTGATCTATGAATAAAGAAAAATGTCATTAAGAGTTATTTTATTGCCGGGCGGTGGTGGCGCACGCCTTTAATCCCAGCACTCGGGAGGCAGAGCCAGGCGGATCTCTGTGAGTTCGAGGCCAACCTGGACTACCAAGTGAGTTCCAGGAAAGGCGCAAAGCTACACAGAGAAACCCTGTCTCGAAAAACCAAAAAAAAAAAAAAAAAAAAAAAGAGTTATTTTATTGCTACTTAAAAAAACATTAGTATTTGGTTTTACTATAGATCCTTGGGCTATCTAATCTCAGGTTCATGGTCATCCAAGCAGTGTCAGGTATGGGTTCCGTTTCATGGAGTAGGTCTTAAGTCATACCAGTCATTGGTTGGTTACTCCCATAAGCTTTGTGCCATCATTGCCATAGCATACATATCTTGTTGACAGGACACCATTTTAGATCAAAAGGTTTGTGGCTGGGTGGTGTTTATGTTTCCTTTTTGTTAGCATACAGAGTATCTTCCTGTATTAAAGACACTAGGACATAAAGGTGAAGGCTCTGTACAGGCACCAGCTCTACCACTCCATGTTCAGTGAGTTGTGTGGGTGTTGTATTCAGCAATGGGCCCTTGCTCTCTCAGTTTGTGGAAAGCAACCTATAGAACTGGCAACAGCCTGCATTGTTTGGGGGTTCCCATGGGACCCCTTTGGCCATAACTCAATTAGATGAAATCCAGTCCCAGTACTGGAAGCTTCATTTGGTGATAAGAAATGTCAATTGGGCTTCTGTCTCCCCTATAATTTGGCAATTTCATTTAGATCACGTTCATATATGTATATTTATTTAGGAAGTTTCTACTGTATTAGGTTTCTGTACTAACCCCCAAATAACTCTTAATTTTGGCTGTCTCTCACAGTATTCCCTCCCTTATCCTCCTCTCCCCTTTCCCTTCCCACTTGATCCTCCTATTCCAGCCCTACCCCTTCCATCCATAATTATCTAGTCTATTTCCTTTTCCTTGGGATATCTGATCTCTCCCTTAGTCCCTTAATCTATACCTAACCTCTGTGGTTCTATTGATTGTAGCTTGGTTGTCATTGACTTAACAGCTAATATCCACATATAAGTAAATAGATACTGTAGCTAGAGTTTTCCTGCTTGGTCCACAGTCAGGACAAATCTCTCTCACCTGCCAGTCCCACAGCCGCTCAGACCCGACCAAGTAAACACAGAGACTTATATTGGTTACAAACTGTATGGCCGTGGCAGGCTTCTTGCTAACTGTTCGTACAGCTTAAATTAATCTATTTCTATAAATCTATACCTTGCCACATGGCTCGTGGTTTACCGGCATCTTCACATGCTGTTTCTCATCTTGGCGGCTGGCAGTGTCTCTCTCAGCCTTCCACTTCCCAGCTTTATTCTCCTCCTTGTCCCGCCTATACTTCCTGCCTAGCCACTGGCCAATCAGTGTTTTATTTATTGACCAATCAGAGCAACACATTTGCCATACAGAACATCCCACAGCACTTCCCCTTTTCTTTTCTTTTCTTTCTTTTTTTTTTTTTTTCAAAAAGGAAGATTTTAACCTTAACAAAGTAAAATTACATATAATTTGGGAATTTGGGCATAGCTTCTCTTACTACTTCCTGCTGGAGGGGGGCGCTGTATCTTATGGGGAAACAAAGAAAATTTTAGAATTATGGAGTAGTCCATGAGGCTGTATCGTCTGAGCCAGATGCCTTCAAACCATTCTGGATGTTGGATCATCTGGGCCATGGTGTCATCAGAGACCTTTCAGGGGGTCTTGGCTGGTCAAACCTGATGTATCTTAATCTGGAACAAATCCATAGCCTTTGGCTTTCTGTGGGAACAAAAGCAGAGTCTCCTTTCCAAAGCAACACATCCTTACATCCAAATTTTGAAGTCAAGGTATCTTTAAAATATACATTTTGGCATAACTCAACAGCTTTTACAATCAAATGTTTTTCTGCAGTTAAAAATCCCAAAGACAACACAATCCAGATTCTCTGTGTAATATTCATCTTCATGTGGCTTATTTTTATATTAATTTTACTGTCTCTTTTAAGACTTTATTTTTTAAAACTATGTATTTCTTTATATAACTGTATATATTCCTTTTTCTCTCTCTTCCAAGCCTACGTACATTTTTACACACATTGTAAAGCATTACATCTGAATCTGTCTTATTGTGAATCTCTTGCTTTAAACTGCAGCAGCTATGGCTGCTGGCTCCGCTCACCTCAGCTTCCCAACATGGCCGTGGTTTACCTCCAGCTCTGGGAGCTATCGTGGGTCTATGCTTTTAGCCCAAGCAGCGTGTAGCCCAGAAACCTCTTTTTTTGTTTTGTACTAGCAAAGTCTAAATCCACTATGCAGCTTAATGTGCCACTTGCAGAGGCCTCATCCCCGCCATATGGCGGGTTGAGCGCACACACTAGGAACCCGCCAGTAGCTCTAACCAGCAGCTGCCACTCATTTGAGAGAGACAATTAGGAACTGTTTTTAGCTCCGTTTTAGAATCTTTTTACTCAGTTTTTAAGTGGAAACTCTTGCCACCACGTTGGACGCCATTTGTAGATGTAAACAACCTTCTTATTAAATAAGAAACACAGAACCAATGCAAAGAAGAAAGCCAAGAGGTCAGAGCTAAGAGCTAAAACCTTACCCTTCCTCCTTTGGTGGTCCTACCTCTCCGAACCAGAGCTACCCCTGTGTTAAAGTCTTTATATAGAGTTCCTGTCCTGCCTTCTCATTGGTTGTAAACCCAACCACATGACCGCCTCCTCACGGCCTGTCTGTATAGGCCTCCAGGTTTTCCATGATTGGTATTAAGATTAAAAGCATGTGTATCCAATAACGGCTTTATCCCTGAACACACAGAGACTTACCCAGCTCTGCCTACCAAGTGCTGGGATTACAAGCGTATGCCACCACTGCCCTGCTTTCCTATGGCTTGCTAATAGCTCTGACCCCCGGGGAACTTTATTTATTAACATACAAATAGCATTTTAATACAAATAAAATATCACCATATTTTTCTTTCTAGGTATAGGTTATCTCAGGATGATTTTTTGTAGTTCCATTGATTACCCATGAATTCCGTGATTTCATTTTTTTTTAACAGCTGAGTAATGCTTCACTGTGTAAATGTACCACAATTTCCTTATCCATTCTTCTTGAGGGACATCTAGGTTGTTTATATTTTTGGCTGTTATGAATAGAGCAGCACTGAACATGGCTGAGCAAGTGTCTCTGTGGTGTAATGATGCATCCTTTGGGTATATGCGCAAGAGTGGTATAACTGGATCTTGAGGTAGATATATTCCAATCTTCCTGAGCAGCCATCACACTGATGTCCATAGTGGCTGTATAAGTTTGCCTTCTCACCAGCAATGGATGAATATTCCCCTTATAGTCCTCATCCTTGACTGCATGAGCTGTCACTTGTTTTATTGGCTTAGCCATTCTGAGGGTATAAAATGGAATTTCAAAGTAGTTTTGATTTGCATTTCCCTAATTGTAGTTGGTTGTTTTTGCTTTTTTTTTTGGGGGGGGGGCCTGTCACCCAGTTCCCAAATAAATAACACTCAGAGGCTTATTCTTAATTATAAATACTATTATAAATTATAAATGTAACATGAAAGAATTAAACACGTCTTTGCATCATTAATCAAATGTTCCACAGCATAAACAAATGTAACATATCTTAATATTCAACAACACTTAATGGCTAAGGATCTTGAACATTTCTTTAAGTGTATCTCAGCCATTTGAGTTTCCTCTTTGGAGAATTCTTTGTTTATATCTGTACCCCATTTTTTAAAAATTGGATTATTTGTTTTCTTGATATTTAGATTACTTTTTCATTCTTTACATAACTAGAGGGTATTAGCCCTCTATTCAGTGTGTGGTTGGTAAATATCTTTTCCAATTCTGAAGGCTGTTACTTTGTCCAAACAGTGGTGTCCTTTGCCATCCAGAAGTTTTTCAGTTTTACGAGGTCCCATATATTAGTTATTGATCTTAGTGCCTGTGCTAATGGTGTTTTATT